CAAGCAACATGGGCAGACAAAACAAGCCTAAAATAAGCAACTTGGCTCATCAAAATATAGATTAAGAACAGATCCAGATCAGGAATTTGATTGATTTCATAAGTATAAACCGGCATGAAACATTAAAAAGGAGGAAGGTGAAATAAACTAAATTATAAATACTGTACACATCTGCATTCTGGAAATAAGCCCAAAAATGCTAATTATAACTGCTCATATGAGTGAATTTATTGGGAAGAAAAAAAATGCCAAAGTTGCTTATAAAAAACAGACATGGCAACACTGCAAGACTGCCTGCTACTTTAGCAAAGTCAGAGCAGAGCATGTCTTGGCTTGCCCTGAGGCTGATTAATGACTTTGTGTATGATGTACAGAGAGGGAAATATTTCTCTGACAGTATTCCACAAAAATACTTGGAGGCCAGAATCACTAGAGACTTGCTTTTTTCGCAATTATCTTGGTATCGTTGTGAGTGTATTTCACGGGAATCCTTCAAAGTTTTACACAACACGATTTTTTATAATGTGAAACATGAGAGCGTGATCTCCTACTGGGAGGGTGAGATTGGGAAAGGGCCGAGGACAGAATCATGGGGAACACCAGTTAAAATCAAGACCTCGGCAGTCATGGATCTCAACAGTAAATATGTTGGCAGGAAATTGAGAGAATCTGAAGGCTGTGCTGGGTTTCATAATTTCCGTTCACATAATAAAACCTCAAAGCAAGCAAAGACTGTTGCCAATGTAAGGTAGTGAAAATGAAACACAGATTGTATCAAAACGTTGTTCAGTCTCTGATAAAAACAACCTGCCCTTTTGACCCTGAAAAAAAAGCTAAAACTAAAAATGTGTGACAATTAAGATCTCCAAACAGTAATAAATATTTTGTCTACTTTAGAGCAAACAGAGATAAATCATTATTCTATTTCACATAAATTAAAACAGATAAAATAGAATTTAGTAGCGAAGGTACTGTTATTGTGTCCTTGTTCTTCTTGCTAAGGCAGGGGTTTTCAAACTGGGGTCCGTGACCCAAAGCCAGGGGGTCCGCAAAATAATGTGCTGTACCGTATTTTCCGGACTACAAGTAGTGTTTTTTAATCTTCTGAAATGTTGTGATTTACATTCCAAAGTGACATAAGATGCCTTTAATGTCAAATAGCCTAATCAAAACGCAAACACTTAAAATCGGGCACTTAAAGGCTTCTATAAATATATTTCTCATGTCTGTGTGACAAGGCAATACCACTGAGTTTTTCTTCATTCAGGAAGAGGTTCACGGAGAGCGAGACTGCAAGCGCATTTTGTTTCTATTTTTTTATCTTACAAAAGTACAACGTTTCACTGTTATTTTGAAGGTACACAAATAAGAATAGACCGTTTTGAATTATGTCTTACTCTTACCAAACGGATAAAAGTAACAATGATAATCCAAGTATTTGTTTTGGCGCCTCCCACACGGTAGCATTGCAAACCTGACATCGCAGCCTCTTCAGACACTTTTGTTTGCATATAAATTTGGACGAGAGAGAAGTACAAAGCCTTCCTTACATGAATAATAATAGTTTAGCAACCAAATATTACACAGCATCTAATGATTCATTCATGGAAACGATTCATGCCAAATGAGAGGTACATCAGCCCACGAGGTTCAGGTTCAGTTTCGTTTAAAATAAGTTTGTTATAGGCCTATAATTTATAATGAATGTTTCTTAACGTTCATTTTTAATAACAGTAATTACATTATTTCTGAAAGTAATAGTAAAATGAAATCCAAAACTGTACTTCCTTTAGTGAAATTTATGACTTCCCCAAGGCTGTTCTGTGTCTTGGTCAGTGTTGGGCAAGTTACTCTGAAAATGTAATTAAATTACTGATTACTGATTACTCCTTTTAAAAGTAATCACATTACTGTTCTGATTACTTTATTTCAAAAGTAATTAGTTACATTACCTTTTTCTGTGGTTACATCCATGAAATTTACATGAAATCCCAGGATAAAAGCTCCCGATAAATATTTGTTATTAAAGCATCAACATTCACAAAACACTGTTATTTTTAACTAAAGCAAGCATAGGCTGCTGCATACATGGTTTGGCATGGCAGAATGCAAGCAAATAGCGCTGCTTTTATAATCTCTAAAAAGATGACATCTTAGTTCATCGCAATCTCACAAAGCTCTGTTTAACACAATGAATATATGCATAATGAATCTTTCATAATGTCTACAAATCGTGTGTTATATGGGGGAGGATTCGTGAGCATGCAAATTTCAGCACTGCACTCATGGCTGGCCATTACGTTCCAGAAATCACCATTGCTCAATGCAGCAAACGCGTGTTATAGCCTAAATAGAAACTCTGCCTACGCTTGCGCTTGTTAATCGTTTTGGTCCCACTTTATATCAGGTGCCTTAACTACTATGTACTTACATTTAAATTAATCATTTAATACAATGCACTTATTGCGTACATACATGTTTTTACATTGTACTTATATTTTTAAAAATACCTGCATGTAAATACATCTGTAACTAATTTCTGTAATTACATTTATAATTACACTGTTGAACCATCCCTTACACCTAAACCCACTCTTAAACCTACCCATACCACCAAACCTGTCCCTAACCTTACCCGTATCCCACCTCAATAGCAGCAAAACTGTTTTGCAATACAATATGAACACAATAAGTACATTGGACTTATTTTTTTGATGTAAGTACATAGTAGTTAAGGCCACCTAATATAAAGTGGGACCATTGTTTTTATTTTACATTAGTTCTTGTTGCTTTTGTGCAATAGATTAATAACAATTTATTTGTTTTAGATATTTTATGTTTAGATATTTCTATTTTGCGGGAGTCCCGTGAATCATTTTATTCTCCCACATCCTGCCCACACCAGCACTCGGCAGTGGACTAGACAGTGCGTGTGCTACATCCTTTTTACAATCTAGATTATAAAACACTGCATTCTGTCAGCAATGTAACACGGCCGTAACGTATAGAGACCTCAGCTTGTAACTATACTCTAATGACTATTTTGAAAATTATAATGCGTTAAATTACTCCGTTACTAAAAAAGTAATCAAATTACAGTAAAGCATTACTAAGTAATGCGTTACTGCCCAACACTGGTCTTGGTACGCCCAACCCCCCTCCCCCCGCTCTTATTTCCTTATTAATTGAAAAATAACCTTAGGGGTAAAACCACTTGCATATTTAAAATAATTTTTGAAACATGAGAAATGTATAAAACTAAGTAAACCATTTTTGTTTAAAACCTTGTTTATATAGATACATTATTGGCATAATAATAGAATGAGGAGCTTGACTCCAGTGACACAATATTTGAGATAATAAAAAGATCTACTGCATACATACATCATTTGGCTATTTTACTTGGTATGCAAGGTCTAATCATACAAAAACTGTTCATATTTGTATTTGTAGTCTTTGCTGATATATAAATATCTGCATCATCTGCATACATTTGACATTCAGGTAAACCATTAATATATAATGAAAAATAAGTGGTCCCAACATTGACCCCTGAGGAACACCCATTTTAGTAATCTGATAAGATGACCTTATACAGCAGCACGTATTTTAGCATATTGTTCTATAAATATTAGTTTCTGGTCTATATATCATATTCTGTTCTGAAAATATGGCTCAATGCTTTCTTTCAGTGTAAGTTTTTTTTTCTTTTCACAACTCCTATTGCACTGAAAAGTAACGACAAACCTCACCCCAATAAGCCACATGAATTTAAGATACCATTCATGTCAGTAGCACATACAGTGTAGGATAAGTTACAGTTTGCGGTAAAATTAAATACTTAGGATTAGAGCTTTCACTCTAAAGTAATAGAAATGTTCGCCTTATCAAACACCACTAATAAAATACAAATGTTTTCGAAAATTTTAAACTGACCTCAGTGCAGTCAGCAAAGTAACATTTTTGAGAAAATTGCCGGCATTCAGATTTCGAATAGGTTTCCAAAAAAAAAAGCAAAACAATGAGCTCAAGTTCTTGAGAACATGGAGACTGGGTGGCCATTTTGTCTGTTTGTCCTTGTCATTCAGAGTGAAGTAAACATCTGCTCTGTCTGTGTTTATGCTATTGTGAAGCAGCATTAAAAAACTACCCACATTCTCATCCCATAGCTGTGCACAGCTAAGAGACCTCAAAATGGACCCAAGATAGTGGTTTAAAAATCCATTACCGACCCATGGCCCACCAGAGACAGTGAAATGTGTACAGCAAACAGTGTGTCTTGCTAGAGAACCAACAGTGGAAAAAGCCTGTAGGAGATTGGACAGGTTACAGGGAAAAGCATTATTGCAGGTCTTGTGAGAGAGAGCATGTTTGTATTTGTGTGTGTTTGCTTTGGAGGTGATGTATCAAGGAAAACAGGACTTTCCTTGCTCTCTTTGGAAATAAAAGATGATCTATTAAGTTTTATCTATTACTGTGAGTAGACATGCTCTAACGTTGAACCAACAACAAAGCAGTTAGCAGATGTGCTTTAGACATGTTGAGCTATGGTGTCAGAGGTCAATTATATAAGAACGTCTTTAAGTGCATTACAGGTCAGAGAGAAAATGGTCAAACTAAAACTAGATTATGACTACTTTTTGGTGCAAGCAACCCTAACTAAAGGTAGTCACAAGTACTGTTGCTCGGCAAAACCCAGTAATCCCAATACGAATCTGTGCGATCTCGACATTCAAGTGACGGCCAAAAATTTCAGGTTTCACTGTGTTTCTGTTTTTCACACAAAACAGAACCTGCTTGGTTTGATCATTGGAAATTCTGGCTTTTAAGTTTCTGAACACTCTCCCTACTTTCTGTTGGTTGAACAAACTCATGGCATTGGTTTGGCCAATGTTGTTGTGTTGGGCTAGCCGGGACACTTAAATAAACACCGGCAACAAAGAAAATAGGAGACCGTATTTTAACACACGTTAGCTTTAAAGAAAGTACTGTGCACTTACAGTGAATTAGGCCGACTCTGCTTGGACAGCTGAAGCCCATCTTGGTCTCCGTCTCCGGAAGGCAGGCTGTTGAGTCGAGTCCAGTTGAGTGTGCTGTTGCAATTTACTGATGGCAAGTCTGCACTGGAGTTTACAACCACACTGTTCCTCTTCTCCACTGCTGATGGACAAGCAGAAATGTTGCTATCCTAATGTAGAGTACATAGTATGCTAATGTAATTACTCCAGCCTGTGGCTGAAACAGGGTTTGGTGGGATCTAGTGGTTTGCATTTATTTAAATTCAATAAGCAATTCAAGTTACACTGCTAGTGATTTTTGTCTTTAGACAATAACTGAATTGCATCTAATGCTGGGGACTAGTTTACTCCTCACATGCCCAGAGGAGGTTGGCAGCAAAATGCTTTTACAGTAAATGCAAACAGGGTGGTATCTGGTCATAGGTGTGCCAACTTTAAACCTGAAACTATTTTAATAATTAATTCCATTGTTATTTTTAGCACAACAATTTATAGACCAGGAACTGAATTTCCTCCTCCAGATGACTTTAAGCACAGAGTTTAGCAATGTAAATCCAATGTAAACAAACTGCTGGGAGAAACCAAAAAGAAACCAGGATTTCCTTTTGCTTCACATTAAATTTTATTTTCATAAATATATATATATATATATAAGACCTGTGAAAAGTTGAATCTAATTAAGCATGATGTGCCGATTATTTTAACTAATCGCAAATTAATCACACATCAATTTTTTTTTCATTATTGTGTGAAATTAGGAAAACACTGAACAGACATTATAAGAAAGTACACTTAGAAATAAATATTTTGATTTAATATTTCATAAATAATGACGATAAATTGGTAATAATTGTTAAATATATATATATCTTTCTGGTCCTTGAATCTAACTGGCTGATAAGAGTGCGATCCTCCAACCACTTCACCGTTTGTATCATGTATCACTCCACTTGCCGTATTTCTCACAAAATCCTCTATAATTTAAAAAATAATACGGTTTTATGTCATGGAATGTAGTTTTAAGAGATTTTAGGCGAGAATGTATTTGTTTACATCTCAAATATGCGGTTTGTTAATAAAGATAACGTCTATTTGAAAATGAGCTTTTCGGAGATGTGAGCTCCAGGGTGTTAGCGGCCGTTGAGCGCTCATTAACCCACCAAGAGCGCCTCACCTCGGCCAGATCTTCTGGAATTTGCTGCTGGCTCTGATGTCTCTATAGTGGTTAAACATGACATATAATTAATTTTGGGTAAATCTCGTGGGCAGTCTTTTATTTGTTCCAGAGCAAATAGTTTTGGCTGAGGGCAAAATCCCATCACATTATATTTGATGTAACTTCAGTACTGTATATAACGCTGCCTTTGTACTTTTGACTGAATTGCCTAGTAACTTTTATGATGGTTGTTGTTTATTAAACATTATTATTCAATAAATAATATTTAATATACATAATATTTAATATTGGTAAACAGTGTTCGTTATGGTGATTTTAGTGACATTGCTCCACCATTAGATGGCAACAAGAGACTTTTTTTACGAGTCAGCAGTAAAGACTTTTATATTGAAAAATACTAAAGCACAATTTTAAACCACAAGGAAGTTATTTTTACTTTCAACACCAGCTTGTCTGCAGCCAACAAATGCACTGAGCAGTGCTGTCATCAGAAATTAAACAGATGAAAGGATAGTACGAGCCTATTGGACATTCCAACTAATGTTCTATTGTGAATATGAGATTGGTCTGAAGAACGAACACTGTATAAGATGCAGGTAATCACACTCGCTCAGTCAATCTTTCTCTCATAATACTCTACTCCACATAATACACAGCTTTTAATACAGTAATACAATAAGCTTTCAATGAAGCAACTCAACGTTCCTTCGTGACATTTTCAAATTAGTAACGGAGGCTTGGGCTCAGCCCCATGGCAGAAACAGAGAAGCAAATAGAGAAAAATTAGCTTAGCTCTATAGTGGTTAAACATGAGATATAATTAGTTTTGGGTAAATCTAACAGGTAGCCTTTGGTCTCATTAATCTATTATTTGTTCCAGAGCCAATAGTTTTGCTGAGGGCAAAATCTCCAGTGCAGTATATCAGAGCTGCCTTTGTTCTTTTGACTGAATTTCCTAGCAGCTTTTATGATGGTTGTTGTTGTTGTTTAATAAATATTATTATAATAAATAATAGTAGTATTTAATTATATTGTTTAATTTTGGGAAACGGTGTGTGTTCATGATGGTGATTTTAGTTACATTATTCTGCCTTTAGATGGTGACAAGAGACTAGTTTTCTGAGAGAGTCCGCAGTAAATACCTTTATATTGAAAGAGGCTGAAACAGGGTTGTAAATAAGGAAGTTATTTTTACGTTTAATAACAGCTTGAAAGAAGCAGCTAACAGATGCAGTGAGCAGCGCTGCCATCGGAAATCAGGATTGTACGACAAAGATATAACTTTCAAACTAATGTTTTATTGTGAATATGAGATTGAGCTGCAGAATGAATGCTGTATCAGATGCAGGTAATCACACTCACTCAGTCCTTCTCTCATAATACTCTTCATAATACAGTGAGCTTTTAATACAGTAATACAATAAGCTTTTAATGAAACAACTCAACGTTCCTTCGTTATAGATCTAAAGTGGCATTCTCGAATTAGTAACGGAGACTTGAGCTTAGCTGTTAAACTGTCAAACTGTGATTTGAATCTGTGGCGGAAGGAAGTAGTTCTGCACAAAAGAGGGTTTTTAAAGACACTCTGTTGTTGTTTCTTATGTATTATACACTCGTGCCATTGAACTGTTATTTTAACACAATATCACCCTCATAGCCGCGAGATATGGCTGTATATCGGCACACTGTGATTACCTACGGCCGAATTACAGCCGTACCGATATACAGCCATATCTCACATCTATGATTGATATTGCTCATATATATATATACTGTATATATATATATATATATAATATTTTGTTTGTTTTAATATTTAGTTATTTGACCAAAAAGGAAGCATAATTTTTTCGCTTAAAATTATAATTTTACATTTATTTTAAACTTTATAAAGAAAGAACTTGCTGGTGTACCTTTGACTTTCTCTGAAAATGAGGGGTTGTGGAAAAGCGTGAGAGGTCTCTCACTGCAGGACGGGGCCTTGCTGTCTGTACTTCTCCGCCTGGGCAGGTTGAGCTGGGAGTTGCCCTGCCCTCCTCCAGACACTGGCATGTCTTTGAAAATCTGCAGAGCCGAAAGGAAATTCAAATCAGCATGAAAATTTCAAAGCGCCACAATGATGGGATGAGTGTCTCCACAAAAGTAGAACAGACTGAAATGCTGCTACTGATGCTGGGAGGATATGACCCCGCAGATGTGTCTAGTCATAAAATGACAATTAGATTTTTTTTTCTTCACTGAAAAAGCTATTCTTTTTTGCATACAAAAATACTGTATGACAGCTATCAATCTGCTACTAGTGGCTGTCAGGCTCCAAAAGATACAAAAAAGGTCCCTATGACTCATACACTCCATTTCAAGTCTGAAGTCATAAGTTAGCTATGTGTGACAAACAGACTGACATTAGAGTTCTGTTCGGCACTGAATTCCTCCCCTCCACCAAACCCCTCAAATCTCATTTGCACATATGAATATTCGAGCATGAATATTAATATTTAATATTTAATATTAAATGTTATGTTACGGATAAATTAATTGGTTCTCCTGTTTCCTGCAACATAGCATGTTTAAATATGCACTGTAAAAACTGTATTGCAATTCAACAGTAAATTTACTATACTGCAACTCTGGTTCTTATTAAAATATTCACATACTTGATTCTCTGAAAAACGGTGCTACAGCCAGTTATTTGACTTTGAACTGTGCGCTCCGTGTCGGAATGTCTGTTTTTGTTTTGGTCTGTGTGATTACATCCACTGCCAGTTTACCCAATAGGATTTCGACACCCTGGGCTGCCAGTTGGTGGGGAAAAAAGTGTATTGTAGCCATGGAAACCAGCAAACAAACTGGGTCCTCTATCTGGCAACCCATGTGAGCGTCAAGTCGAGGAGGGGCAGGAGAAACAACTCTCTCAGACTCTCTCCATTTTGAATTTGGACTTCAGTACCAATTTCAACCACTAGCTATCAAAATTATATAGTAAATCGTTTTTATTCATCATTTTTATTTCAAGTATGTCGTTTGCAGTGTTTTATGGGACTGTAGTACTTCTTTCATTAATAGAAATTGATGAAACACTTATGTGAATTGAAAAGGATAATTGTGATTTTGTATAATTTATTAAAGGGGTGGTTGATTGCGATTTCACTTTTTTAATGTTAGTTAGTGTGTAATGTTGCTGTTTGATCATAAACAATATCTGCAAAGTTACGAAGCTGAAAGTTCAATGCAAACTGAGATATCGTCTTTTAAAATTCTGGCAGTTTAATGCCTACAAAAATGACTGGTAAGGGACTACAACGAGTTACTTCCCAGGTCCGTTACGTCAAGAACCCAGAATTTTACATAAACCCCGCCTCCGGGAACACGCAGCAAAGGGGGCAAGGCCATGCTGTGCTGCTTTAGAGAAGAGGAAGAGAAAACTAGAGCTGTACGTAAAAATCTATTCATATATGAATCGCGATTCTGTCTTCTAATGATTCTAACGGATTCACAAGTTTCAAAATCAATGTTCAAAAGCAGTGTTCTCATCCTGTTCCTGGCCTCGCCCTGCTCTGCACACGCTCTGCATCTCTCTCTCTCTCTCTCTCTCTCTCTCTCATTCAGATCATCAGCTCAGTGAATACACTTAATTTTCACATACTATAGCTATGAGAAGCGTTATACATGGACACGCGTGCGGTTGCCGAACTGTATTAAAGCTTTAATCAGAATAAAACCGTATATTAAAAGCTAACATAAGCAGTAGCATTTACAAATAACAGTGTATCTAAAAGTATCTTATCTTGTAAATGTATCTTAGACGTGCGCTAGAGGCGGTTTAGCCAGTCACAACACACTGGGCCAGCTAATCAATCAGAGCCCATTGTGTATTTCTGAGGGCGGGGTTTCATAAAAACAGGAAAAGATCAGCCCGTTTTTCAGAGAAGGGACAGAGCTGTGTGGAATAAAGGTAAATTATGTGAAAAATAATGCGTTTTTTTTTTTACGAAGCATTAACACATGTTAGACTGCACCCCAAAAACACAATCAAGCCTATAAAAAAAACAGTCAACCACCCCTTTAAAAGACTTTGTTCACCTGAGTTTTTGCCTGAGTTCTATGAAGCCTACTTTAGTTTGAGTTTCCTGTGGATGAAGAAAGACCATTTACTTTCCCAGTTACTTCATTAAGTTATGGTGTTATGTTGAATTCTGAACCTGATTTCTGTTTCTGATCCCAGTATCAATAAACCTGCTGAAATCACTT